ATCTTTTCTTTAAATTTTATACTAAGTATCTAAATTCTATATAATTTAAATACTATAATCATCATAAATAAAGATTAAAATAAGTTTTATTATATCAACTCTCTTTAAATTAACCTACTAACCATTCTAATGTACATCAATACTTATAAATACATTATATGTTTTAGTTAATTTTTATATACTATAAGTAATTATAATATGACAATGGAAGCTATGCTTGTTGATTTTTTGACAAAGGCATTAGTAAAGGTGTGAGTCATCAAATTCACTCACTTGTTGTTTTAAGATAAAAATATTTATTTAGAATATTTTGAATCACAATATATAGGTAGTAGTGTAGAAATCCTTTGAGAAATAGAAAATTATAATGTTAATAGTAGAAATGGTCTTTGTAAGTCTTGAAGGCAATTAACTTTGTTGATTTAGTATTTTTATTCATTGTTGAGCATTAAGGATTATTTATTAAGACCAATATTTATATTGGTCTTCTATCTATATGTACTATTTATAAAAACTATAAATGTTAGTAGTTAGAAGAAGCATGAGAAAGAACCTCATGTCATTTTAGTTATTGATATAAAAAATAGGATTTATAGTGGATTTAAATTGATGTTTATTATTATCAAAAATCACGAAGATAGGAAAATGTGGCATTACATGGATATTAGCATTATAGAAATATTATAGGATTTTTCAAATTTTATTTAGAATTTATTTATAATTTTTTAGGAATTTTTAGAACAATAATTAAGATCTTAGTAAAAATGAGTTTTACCACTTTGAAAGCCATTATGAAGAAAGGGAGTAAGATTTGAAGGCCACAATTAGTTCTTGAGCTAATTGGATATTTTTAAACACCATGGTGAAGTCAAAAATATAAAAAAAAATGAGTTTTACTAGTAGAAAATAGGAGGACCAGCAACTAGTCTAGTCCTTGTAGGAAGGAAGGTGTACAAGTCCCATATGGGTTGTGGCACCTTGGGTATAGGTAGGAAGATAAGCCTAAGGCCTCAAGGCCTCTTCAGATATATGATATGCACTAGATGTGAGCCTTGGTGAGGCTCGAACCCTTGACCTATAAACAAGTTACCCTTGAGATAAAACATTTTTACATAACTTCTATTTATTTACTTATTATTTTTAAACCTTCATAACTTATTCATAGTAATTCGGATTTATATATTTCTTATATCATTGGAAGCTTAAAATATTAAATTTATAAAAATATAATTTTTACTTTTATTTTTTACTTTTTACTAGATGAAAACTCCATGAACAAACTGTGACCGAGTTTTGAAGTGTGTATTTGCTTGTATACATTCTTTTTACTTGTTTGTATTGTTTCTTTTTTTACTCTTGTTTATTGCATCTTCCACTTCACACTACCCATTACAAAAAACTCTTAATTAAGGCCATCTTGTAATTTGGATAGAAGGGTGAAATTTACACTCACAAAAAAATAGATATCGCATATTGATAAAGGCATTAGGATTAAAAGCCTTTGACTAATAGCAAAGTAAAATTATTAAAGTAAATAAATAAAAGTGAAAGTAAAATAAATTATATTATAAAAGATATTACTTTAGATAAATTTCTATTAATTAAAAAATTAACTCTTAGTATGTAAAAAAGCTAAGATATAAGGTAGATGAATAGACAAAAGATCTTAAAGATATAAAAGATATGCTAAAAACATATTTTTATAATAGATAAGATAGGTATGAATAGTCTTGATAGAATGTTGGATGAATGTATTTATCAAAAGATAGAAGTTGTCCATTAAAGTAGCAACTACCATCTATACATAATAAGTACTAGAAAAAAGAAATATCTTACTCCATACTCTCTTTATAAGCAACCTTGTTGATACTATGTATTGATGATTTTAAAGTTTTTTTTCATTTAATAAATATTAGTATAGATTTGATAGTGCTCCAATGGATGATGAGAACATATGTCTCAAAATAGTCAACTCTTAATTTTTTTTGAATCTTCTTGCAACTAATCTAGCCTTTAGTTTATATAATTTTTTATTGTATTTCTTTTTTATCTTAAAAATCTATTTTAAAGTAATGTCGCATTTTCTTTTGGATAAATTTGTAATTTGCCATGTAATATTTTTTTGTTATCAAATCTATTTTTTATATATAGCATGCTCATATCTCTCTTATCCAATGGTTTTTTTAAAGCTTTGTAGTTCAAGTGTGTTTTTTGCCAAAAATATAAAATAATCTTTGAATCTATTAATATGCCATTTTTTTTAATAAGATATCTTTAAAAATTTATTATATTACTAATTTTTATATTGCTATTGATTTATCCTCAATATTGATTTTGGTTTTGATTCTTATTTTAGTATTAACTTCAATTTTAAGTTCTAATTATTGATCTAATTTTACTATTATTATATTTAATATCATGGAATGTTGATGATTTAATAGAAAGATTTTGGGTTCTATATTTTAGATATTGGTTTTATTTTGTTCTTTGGTAATTTGAATTATAATGTACTAAAAACCAAGTTTGGTTTTTTTTGTATAATATATTTTTAAAGATAAGAATCTTTTGACTTAAAGGTTCAAATAGTCAATAAGTTTTGATTTGTTTGTCAAAACTTAAGAATACATATTTCTAAGTTTTTGAATCTAACTTTATTGTCTATGGCTTTAGTATGTAGATGAAAATAATGCATTTGAAGGTTTTTAAAAAACTTATATTAGATTTTTTATTGTATTATTTTTTATATAAGTAATACCATAATTTATTATAATCAAGCTTCTATTTACGAAAAATATTTCTATATTGATTGCCTCACATCATAGATATCTTAGAAAGTTATATGCAACCAACTTACTTCTTATCCTTTTAAAAATAGTTCTATTTTGATATTTGACAATACTATTTTTCTTAAGAATGTGTGATTGAATTAACTATTTTCTAATTCTATGTTGACCACAAAATTCTTAATATTATTGGAACATGAATTTTTTGCCATGGTCAATTTGTAGACTTTTTATTTTTCAATTTGATTTCTATTTCTACTAGTTGTTTTAATATTTTGAATTTTTGTAAGGTCTTTGACTTAGCTTCCATAAAAGAAATTGAAAAATTTTTGAAAAATCATTGGTGATTAATAAGCAATATTGTGATCTACAAGATGATGGTGTTGACATTGAATCAACTAGATCCATAGTTAGAAGTTATAAAATCCTTGTAGTTTGAATGAGAGATTTTGAAATTTTTTTGGCATTGTTGTTTTCTAGTGAGATATTATTCGTATGGAGTTTTAAGTAGGTTAAGTACTCACATACTTAAGACTTTATTATATCTCAATATGTAGCTGAGTCTATTATGGTTTAGATATCTAAAATGGTTCATGCCATAAGTCTATTAATTTTAGATAGCTACTTGATATTGTAGTTTTTGGGGTATTAGTAGTGTGTTTAGATTATACAAATAGAATATTGATTTTGTATAATCCATTCCTTCTATCTCAAGGACCTATTATAGTAAGTTTATTATTTTGACTCAATTTCCACTATTGTTTGTTAGAAAATACTACTATTTTGTCTATTTCTACTACACATCTTATAATTTTTTTTTTTTTTTTAAAAAACTAAATACATAATAAACTTCTTTAATTTTATTTTTTCTTCAATAATATATAGAGTGTCTTCTATTATATGTATTTTCTTCCTATTATTATAAAATTTCCATAATTCTCTAGTCATATGTTTTTAGAAAGTTCTTATTCCCTGTTATATAGTAGGTTGCTCCAAATTTCATGTACCATGATTGATCTTTATCTAATTTTTTTTTAATCTTCATAATTGCTGTATAAATATCTTTGGCTACATTTGAGACATCCTAATGCTTATTAATGATAGTGTTGATGGTATTTTCTTCTTTTTATATTGAATATTTATTACAATGGAGACTTGTTAGATGATTGGATGAACCACATAGATAGCATCTAAATCTTGTATTTAATTTTTAAAAATAATCCTTGATATATTATGCACCTAGTGGTATAATATTACCTTGGTTAAAAACTTCTTTTATGCAAAATATTGGATTTGTACCAATTTTGTGACCCTTTCCAATATTAATTTCAAAATGATGTGTGGCTTCTTACAAATTGTGTAGTAGGTGCTTTATCTTTTCATAGTTTAATCTTGCATAATTCAAGTCAATAGGATTTATTTAATAGCTTTGAGTTAATTAATGCAAAATTTAATAGCTTGTTCAAAATAGTTAAGTTTTAAATTATACTTGTATAGCTTAGAGGGATTTCATTTAGTATAAGTTGAACAAGTGTTTTACCTACATCTTTATGTTCTACCACAAATAAGTTACTATTTAAATCTCATGCCATCTACAAATATTCTTTAATCAAGCTTCCTTCTATCATTTCTATGTTATATAATCTAGTTGATAAAAGAAGAATTTGTGATAAGTTTCTCACTTCAAAGATGTTCTTCAATACTTTCCATGTATCTATTAGATTATCAATTTCACAAATTGTCTCAATAAATTTATTTTTGACTACCATGATAATTAGTGCTTGAACCTTGAGTTTATGGATTTTAAACTATTCCATTGTAAACTCACATGCTTTGACAGTAATAGAAAATAATGATAGTATCATTTTCTATTCTATTAAGTTCTATAAGTTTTCTCTTTCAATATTGCTTTTATTTTTAGTTTAAAATATATTTATTATGCTTTGAGCACGGTTCAAGCATGACGTATTCTAGCATGAAAGTCGCATCTTGTCCAATCGTGTCTTGGTCACGCTCTGCTACATGTCAAACTTCGTATTCGATGCGAAATGATTTGGAATCACAATAGTTCTGCACTGGACATGGCTCTGTAATGAGGTTGTTGTGGTCAGAAAGGTAACGACCAGTATTTTTCACGAAAATCTGTCGTATACAACAGACATTCACTGTGGATCGGTCAGGTGAATGGTAGCCATCAATACATAAAGGCACCAAAGACTTGGTCACGATCTTCAGACTGTCGACATATTCGTGATATGTCCAAGTCAAGCATGTTTACATGATTAGCAGTGAGACTTTTCTTACAAAGAATCGTTGGGAGATCTCTCCGCATGCATCCCAGCTATAACTTGGCTCAAACCATCCGCAACTCAAGGCAGTGCCGCTCAAATTCAACTATTTAAGATTCATGATCTAAGTGCTCAAGGTCATCGAGAAAACTATTGACAGTATTTTCAAATGCAGCATTCTCCAATTGATGCTTTACTTCTTCGGAAATTCTCATGAACTCCTCTTGCAAACTATCGAAGTTTTCAAGTAAGGGCTCAACACGGTAGTAGTCGTATCTTGCGAAAACTTTCAGGATAATATCATGCGGGGTATTTAGTTTTTCCGCTTCCTTGAAAACCTTGACCAGGGCCTTCACAACCTGCAGGTGGAAACATATTACTCTATAACTCTTTTAGCTATGCACATCACTCAACAGCACCGCCGTGCGTTGTAAACAAAGTACGACTATTGGATTTAAAATGCTATTGAAACCTTGAAATAGCTTCAGTTGGGGAACGAATAGCTCACTTGTACAGAATAAGGGTCTTCGTCGCTGTCTTGGTAAACAAAAGGTTTCACAATCTTCTCTACATAATCAAGTATCCAATATGTAATTAATGGGGGTGCGAACATGTCATCATCAGTAGGAAGCAGTGCACCTCTACCGATGAGTACTCTTGGTAAAATTCTTGCTATAGAAGCTGCCGAAGGTGTGGTAGTGGACCCTTCCAGGTCTTCATCATCCTCGGGTGGTGGTTCCTCCTCTCCAAACAAGATCGTAAGAAATGCATTGTACCATTGCCACTTCGTGAATAGTGTCGCTGCATCTACCATCAGCTCCTTTTTATCCTCAGAGTTGAGTGGAGCAGATGGAGCGGGGGCAGCATTTGGAAGAGGCGATACCTGTGAGTCTGCCCGCTTCCTCTAGACATTGAGATAAATTACCTCGGTTAGTATTATTAGATAACACGAATGTATCCATGTATTGAGCTCTAGCGGTATTGGGATTACTCCCCTGTTACCGCTCTAGTCCAAAATCCAGAGCAAGGACCATATGCAAGAAATCGTCAATATACACTGAACACCTCATGGTGTAGGACCGAACGATGGCTCGTTATGTGAGTCGTTAATAAGTCACAGAGCACTAAAGTCTTTTTAAGCCTCTGGCCATTGTTTCAAGGCTGTGAGGTGTGTATACGAGCACCGGCAGAATATGTTTAACGACCTTTCGTTGTTGCTCCGCTTGTTCGGCTGCAAATTGGTTCAAAACGTTGGTAATTCTCTGGAGCAGCTGCTGCAGATCGTCATGGCGTTCGAGCAAGGGGTTCACATAACTGAAAGGAATTGTGGTAAACGCTTTTAAGAGATCATTCTTGTTTTCAAATTTCTCCATACCTTCTAAAAGCATATTCACATGCCGATACATGATCTGCAGGTCAGAAGGCATTTCAGAACATACATTACTCTGTAAATTACGATTGTACTATTCAGGACGTCTAGGCATTTTTGGAATAAATAAACAACTCAAAATAAAATTGAAAATGAGAAAAACAAAACAAAAACAAACAAATAAACAAACAAACTACTTTTGTTTGGGTCGCTACTTGAAACGAGTCTATGATTGTTCAGCTTATAAATTTCACCTCAAACCGCACTTCAGGGAGGACTCCAGCTGGAGCGAGCGTCGTTAATCTATTTTGATAAAACTGACGTAACCAAGATCTGTCGGTAGACGGATAACGTTTCAGGATCTGAAAAAAGGTAAAATGCTTGCTATGCGGTTGATCAGTGGAGGGATCAGAAGTCCATGGATCAACGCGAACTTCTTCATCTTGTGTCAATTCTGTTTCATCCAAGCAATCTAGGTATGCCGCCCTCGCTAAACATAAGGACATGTAATCCTTCACGGGATTTTCAGGATAATCAGATATAGACATCCCTCAATCACTGGCAATGTGCAAATGACTTCTCTTCCGGAGCTTAACCACCACCGAAAGTAGACGACAGAACGTACAGTGAACAGCCCACGGCCCAAAACTAGACAACGACAATCATCGCAGCAGCTCATCAATTCTCTCGACATTTACGCGGTGTGCTACTGCAACGATGCAATAACCTACAAGGTCATGTGAATAACCTTGACATGACATTGCATCACCAGAATCTCGTTCAATTCGCGGAGTGAGGTTGCCAACTCAGGATGATAAATGTCCCTATGATCATATTCATCCGCTAGTTCAGGGCTGGTCGTTTGAAAAGTTTTCAGCGCGCTTGACAAAGAGTCCTTCACCACCCCCTTCCTCGGTCCAATTCATGGAAATGTGCACAAACGATTAGTGGCCATGCGGGGGGTGATTAATCTGAATTCATGGAGCTATTTTAAAATTCGTGTCGCACCTGAGTTGTGAATTACAGTAAAATTAGGTGGAAGAATTAGAAGATGGATCATCTTTGAAGAACGAAGAAACTGAGGTATGTTTCAACATTTTTGTGATCGAGTCCCGCTTTTTTTTATGCTGATGTGCAGTTAAGTCATGCACGCGGGCAGGGCTGCTGTCGGAAGGCAGCTTCCATGCTTCGCATGCATCGCCGTGTGCAGAATCTTGGACGCCGATGCCAATTGAGGACAACTCAATGGTTTACCATTCTGTTCCTGTGTCGTCGGTTTTTCTAGCAATTGTCCTCTCTCTTCTGCATCCTCGATGTGGAGCTACGAATCCGTGTTCATCTTCTTTCATTCTGTCTGTTGTGGCTTCAACAGAGTTGGTGTACATGTGTGGTTTCGTGTAGCTAGCAATTGTGATGAACAGTTGAAGCTTGTATTCGAACTAATGTTGACTTAACCAGAGTGAACATTAAGGCGCGGTGTATGTCTTCTGCGTCGTTTCGAAATTCAGTTTGGTTTTTCATTTCCCTTCGTGAACAGCACATGCGTTATGCATTTCTTATGTGCTGATGATTTTCTATTTGTCAACAAGCAAAGCGAAGAGTTACATCTTAAAGGAGGATTAACGATTGTTTCTTATCACACAAGCATTAAGGTTTCTGCTATTGTTATGCACCAAGATTAATTATATGATTGAAAATAGCTTGTAGCAAATTTGTGAGTTCAACATTGCTTAGTTATTTCAGAAGAATAAAAGCTACTATAAATACATTTATACATATATACGCACATATATAACCTTTTTAATCTAGAATTCAATGTAACTATGTTTTTAGCATTTATTTTCCATCTCACAACAATGAATTTGGTTAGAAGTATTTTTAATCAATTTGAAATTAGCAATTGTAAGTTTATCAGTAGGTTTTTAATAATGTATTTAAATTTTATTTTATTAATATTCTTGACGGTTTTATTTTGCAATATATATACATACATTTATATACAAAAGAAACACATTATTTTAAATATTTTATTTTTTGCTTCAAATTTTTAATTTAATTTTATTTGTGTTAAAATATAAATATATTCTTTTAATGCAAAATACTAGTACATACTTATTTTTAAAATGTAAAAAGTAAAACAAGTGTGTGAACATAGAGAATTATCATTTTTATAATTTTGATAATATTTATGTTAGTTTTACAATTTATAGAAAGAATTGCATTAATTTTTCTTAAATAAATATTTATTTAAAAAACATTCCTTTTATAAATAAAAAATATAATAAATTTAGGTTTTAAGTTATATATTTTGAATAAAAAATTCTATTTTAATGTAAACATAATCTTAAACATAAATAGCATAAAAAAGAAATACTTTATTGTATAACAAATCTTACACATGGTATCAAAATGAGTATTTTTATGAATATACCAAAGTAGAATACCATTTTTATTTTTTTAATTGAAAAACGAACTTTTAATATTCCTGAGTTTTTTTCTTAAAATAAAACTTATGATTTATATTTATTGATATAATATTTGTATTTTTTTTAAAAAAGATACTTTTAGATTAGTATTTTTAAGTATTTTCATATTTTAAGAATATTCTTAATAAAATTTTATATATTTTTTAAACAAATTTTATTTTTGTAATATTTTTAAAAGTATCTATATTAATTTTACTATCAACAATTTAATTAATGTATTCAAATTTATATTATTTTAATAATCTAATATAAATTTGAATAATATTAATTTGAATAATATATTTGATCAAATTATATAAAAAATATATATTATAAAAATTATTTTAATTAATATATTCAAATTTATATTAGATTATAAAAATTATAGATGTAAAAAAGATTAATAGCTATGAAATTATAATCAAGCTTAAAAGTACAATTGCATATATTAAAATATATTTTGTAGAGTAATATTTTGATTTATAAAGTTTTATTAATGAATAAATAGATACATATCAATTTTATTTTGCATGTCAATTATTTGATTTTTCATACTTATTTTATTAATAACTTTAAATTAGAATAATTTTTAAATTAATATAATTATATTTAAGTGAAAGAATGAACTTATATTTTTTATTATTACTTTGTTATTCTTTTTATTAATTTGAAAAAAAATGAAAATTTATGTATATATATATATATATATATATATATATATAAGAAAGTTGTTAAAACTACACCCTTGCTTATTATTTTATGATTAGTTTTTTTCATTTCTTGTCTTCATCCCTTGTTCTTAGCTCTCTCATCCCCACCCCTTCTCCCATCTTCATCTCTTGTTTCCAGTCCTTGTCTCTCTATGCTCATCCATGTTCCTTGTCCCATATCTCTTGTTTCTAACCCTCTCTTCTTCCCTCCTCTCCTCCAATCTTAGAACAAGGAACTTGGAGATAGGTAAGAGCAAGAGAGAGTGAGGTAGTTGGCTTGAGCTGAGAATAGAGATAGGAGACATGAGATAAAGAATGGACAACAAAGATAGAGAATAGATGAAATTAATTATGACATGACAAGGAAAGGTATGACTTCAACAACTTCTTCTAAATATATATATGAATTATTTAAATTAGTAAAAAAAACTTTAAAAATTTTAAAAATAAATCAAGATTATAAATCAATGTATATGTATATTAAATTATATATATATATATATATATATATATATACATAGAATATTTTTTATTTTGATGTTGTTTTGATAAAATTATAAATTATGTTCTATAGCTATAAATAAAAATATTGTATTTGAACTTAACTTCACTACCAAATTATTTTTTTGATGCTATTGAATCTAAAAATTCAAAAAAGAAATTTAACTAATAATATTTCTTTGAATTTTTTAATAATTTTATTCATTTTTGGTTTAAATATTAAATATATAAGCATATAATAGTTCTTATTGGTATTTTTGTTGGAATTATTTTTTATTATTTAAAAAAAATTATATCTATTATTATTAAGATATATATCTAATAATAAAAATTGTATAAAATTTCTTTACTTTTAAAAATGCTTCTATACAAGTTTATTATAGTATTGGCTTAATGGTGATTTTTAAGATAATATTTTTTTATATTTTTTTATATTTTTTTATATTTTTTTATATTTTATGTTGTACTTAAATTTATCTTTAAGGTCTTAATAATAATGAAGAATTTATACTATTACATTTGAAGTAATCTACAATCAATAAAAAGTTATATTATTACCATTTTAAATTAAAGTTTAGAATTTTCTTTTAATGACTTCATATTATGTATAAAAAGTTTAGATATCTTGTATGAATTCAATTGTGATACATGATATTAACTAGAATACAAGTTGTTCATGTTTTTTTTTGTTTACTTGGATTTTTTAAAAAATATTGATTTTAAAAAAAGAAGGTGTGAATAAATCCAACTTTATTATAACTGAATAAATCTTTTTCTAATGATTAATAGATGCCTTCATTTAAAAGAAAATATTTTAAAACAATTCTATTTTATGTGGTTAGGTTTTTAAGATCTTGTGTTATTGTATCTAAGAAATATTGCTTATATATATATAGAAAAAATATAGAGACTTTATATCCTGATATTTCAAGATAAATTTTTTTATAGTGCCTTCTATGATTTTCTATATTTCGTTTTTGAATTAGTAGAATTTATGGTTTGCATACAATTAGTTTTGTATCATCCACCACAACCCATAATTGTTTTTCTACAAAAAAATCAGTATTAATCTGTGCCTCAAAATGATTCATCAAATTTGGAAACACAAGTCACGGCAGATTATTGCCGTATTTCTCCTTCTTTTTTAATTAATAATGATACTAATTCATTTTTATTTATTTTTACTTTGATAAGGTGAATCTCTATTCTAACGAAATTTAAAATCTTTGGCATGTTTGTATCCTTCCAGTGTATTGATAAATATACGTATAGTTACTGTAATAATTAGACAGGATTCATACGTTTTAAGAATTAGATGAAATGATATCTTATGATATTCTAATATCTTATATCATGTTAGAATCACTAGATGAATTTCAAAATGTAACTTTAGATTCATACATGAGTTGTGCTTGTCTGAAAAAGATGAAGAGGAATATCCAAAGGCTGTACCATTGGATATGCTAGTACAGTAATTGTAATATGTATTCTACGTATACCCAATAATCTTGAGCATCCCAGTTTCAATATATTTGTAGCCTCCCCAACAGTGAAGCCATTCTTCCGATTCATACATGATTCAGACAGTGCAGGATACATAAGATGAAAATGTTACAACGGAGCAACATCCTTCCACATTTAAGCAAAGCTTTTACTTGAATGAGACTAATTCCAAGGAAAATAGAGCAGTTCTTTGCTAGCACCATGTCAACAGCATTACTCTAAAACGCATCCCAAACACGTTAAGCAGGATAAGATTTGTTTTCTTTTCCAGATGCCTGTCACTGAGCACTAGTAATTTAATGCTGTGCAAACCTCGGATCAGTCTCTGCTTGCAACGACTTCTAGATTCTTCAAGTTCTGCACTAGGAACGCTGAGCACTACAAGGCAGATTTGGAGCATCTGTTCATGATTTTTCTTACAAATCGAAGTGGAGTCAGCTAGCCTTCAAAGGCACCGACACCCCACTGGTGGATGCAACGCCGAACCTCGGGTACCTGAGTGAAAGCAGATCCAATGCTGGTTCCGGATGAATCCAATGGGCATTCCATATGCTCAGGGGGATCAATCTAACACGGCCCAGGCAGATTAGTCCGCTCGCAGGCAAGTTCAGGAATAGTTTCTGCTCCCAAGCGGAGGAAAACAATGGGAGTGATACCAGCAAGACCATGGGCTACGTACCCAAACGTGGATCTCGGCGAGGAAACAATGTCGTCCATGAAGCTCAACAACCACATGTCCGTTAAGGCTTTCATGTCGTGGTCCAAATCACCCGTTTGCTGATGTCCCTCGCTACTGGGACTCACCACCAACATTCTCATGTCGCATATAGTGCTCCCGCAGGTCGAGGTGATATTGGACAGTTAGAGCTGTCATAAGTATCGTGATCTTTTTATAGGAATTATGTGTCGGAATGGCTGTGGCTTTCCGAGTCAAGTTGGGGAGAATGTTTGTGTCTACAGCACACTTGAGGATGTGATCACTGATCACGGGCTTGTATTCAGGTGTCCAAGAACGAACCTGAATGCCAACCCTCTTGTCGGCACCAGCAAGATAACCATCGTAGAACTTTGTGATGCGACCCCAAATGTCGTTAGAAGGGTTAAGGAGGTATCTTCCGGCATGGAGAAACACCTCCCTATCAGGAAAGAGATGATTAAGCGCTTTTCGAAACTCTGGCAAGAAGTAGAGACCTGGAATCATGTATTGATTGCTACGGAAGAGCAACCACGGAATGCGGCCAAGAAGTTTTTGCTCCGCTGGGCAGAAGAATCGTCTGTCGTGGTGCGGAGGAGGGCTAATGTTTGAGAGGCTGACAAACAAGTGGCGTGGTATATTTTTGAAATCGGTATCGAGAAGCGATTCAGATCCTCTTCCTGTTAGGTTCTGAGCTCTTTGGAAGAAATCCCCTTGACTCCCCCCCTTCGATTGCATCGCATCATACGGAAAGCCGCTGGGCACTTGCCAAGAGGACCGGGGAAATGGTTCACAAAGTAGGAGGTTGAGCGATTCCTGGGGCGTGATCAACAAAATGCGATGAGTGAGGAGAGAGTATACGAAAGCAGAAACGAGAGAAACGAGTTGGTTGCCCTTTCCGTCTAGTTCTTTCCAAACGAGATACTGGCATCCCTCCGGTGCTGTTCCAGTGATGAAGGTCTCAGTTAGGTTCTGGCCTTGCACACATCGCTGGTGAAGCGCCTCATACTCTCGTAGAGCTGACAGGAACTGAGAGGACGGCGGTTTTCGCGTACTTTTCCAAAAGCAATGCTGCATGTACTTGCTCGTACAAGAATCAGGACCAGAGGCATGCATGGGGCGATACTGATCCTCGCTTTTTATTAATTTTCCCGAAAGTCCTGCGAGTGAGCAATCTGCCAAGCGATGAAATCACATGTGATATATATTTATATAGGTAGTTGAATGAACCCACATCTCGGTGTCTGGATTTTCCGAATTTCTTCATTTTCTTTTTGGACACAAGGGGGGATTTACCCGATGCTTCGGATGAATAAAAGAATTTAGAACAAATTATCTAAAATCCTGACACCCAAGGGTATGGGTGAAAATAAGAGCATTATTGACCTACATGAAAGGATTTTACGACTTTCATAGTTGCAGAGTGCGGATCGAAGCCTGACAGGTAAACTCACAACAAACGAGCATAGATAAGCATGTATTTTGATCGTTTGCAGTCAGTTTCCTATATCTCCTTGCCTGTTCCTGGTTACCCTTGAATTCCCAAGCCTCAGTGTCATCACCAATATTAGCACAACACCCAAGACAAAGCATAAGCCCCGTGTACGCATCCACCAACTGCGAAACACCTTCATCCATCGCGGCGTCCCCTTTGCATCGCCGTCATATTTCATCGGGTTTCCATGCGCTTCAGCCAGCTGCAAACCACGTTAACCTCACACTACAACCTTTCACAAACCGATTTAACTCTCGAAGAGCAAAGTGCCTTCAGTTCAAAAAGATCCAACTGGGAAGAAGTCGATGCATGAATTCCTGCGACGCAATCTTTATGGCGCAACTAGGAGCCAAGCACCAAATCATATCATATATTAAAAAAACCCAAGTCAAATATAAGTGATGATTTTACATAAGTTTACGAGCTCAACGTGGTGATGAACACACGAAACTCCATGAGGATGAGAGAGTGGGGTTGGCCACTTAGCTACAGTTGAAATTGACTGAGCTGCTCCCATGCGCAACTCAACTAACTACACTCAACAGGACGAAACGAAATGAAACGAAACGGCAAAACATGTGAGGGCTACCAGTCATCAACCGTGAACAGTTTACTGTTACAAATCTCTCACATTGGGGGATCGTCATAGCTCTTCGACGTGGGGGACGATCACGTCGGAGGTTACGTCTCGGCCAATCCTCGACCCCATCTAGGTGGTTATGCACCATGGCTCCTTCACCGCAAGGCTTACACCTCCAGAATTGGGGTTGGTTGCAGGAACAGAAGCACACTCTCACGTACATGGATGAGCATCGTCCGCTGGATTGATGACGAATCACACATGGCGGATGAAACTATGGATCATATACAAATACATAACATCCATTATTTATATATATATATATATATATATATAGAAGTAGACATACTAGTATTATAGCCCCTTGCATTAGTGGGCTAGTAATATTTTAAAGTAGTGGAGCCTTAAATGTTGTGTACAAAATGAACATAGTGAAACATTTGCTTTTGTACAAGTACTAATAATGTTTTTTAGAAGATTTAATTTCATTATATTTTATGGTTTTTTTAAAACATCTGACCAGTATGCTGCAATTTCCAAATGCTTGTGAAGGATGCAATAACATAACCAGAAAATAGATTAAATAATAATAATAATAATAATAATAAATCAACAATTGAACAAGGAAATCATACTGATAATAAAAAATAATTACGAACACTAGAGACAGGGTATCATTTTACATAGCTCTACAAATTGTATACAAATTCTTTTACGTACGTCAACCTTGGTTCTTTTCTTCACCACAAAATCTAAGTTCAATTGAATAATGTATGAAAAAGTCTAAAGTCTTGTAAAACATTTCGCAGAGTGTAGAGAATGTTTACTATACTTTTTAGAAGACTATAAATGCTACCGATTTTTTTTTGGAAACCTGCAAAAAATAAAAATTTAAGAATCAATACTCTCTTAAACGTTTCTAACAGATTACCAACACTCATCCTACATGTCTTTAATTCACCTTAAGACAGTCACAAATTCATAAAACATTATAAAAACAGGAATGTATTAGTATTGAGAACTAGTGAGGTCTGTTTGATAATTTAAAAGAGGTTGCACAATTGCCGAAATTGACATAGCACAAGAAAAGACATCCTTAGGACTTGCAACTTGCACCCAAATAAGGGTGGTGGAAGTCAAACGTCAATGAGACTTTTGAAAATTACACTACTTATACATGTGTAAAAACAATGAAACAAAAATAAATAACTAGAAAAAATTTAACCCTTGTCGTATGAGCCTAACAAAATCGAATTCCTGAAAATGCACAATCCATGATCTCCTCGTAACTCACACGAAAGAATCATTGATCATAGCATGGAGTAAGCTAAATCACTGGAAGAAAGTAACTTGGGCAGCAAAAGCGAATCGTGAGTGCTATGCTTATGAGTGAGCAAACCTAGCCTGGAAAAACACCGACTCCCCACTGGTTGCGGCAGTGTTGAATCTCCGGCACTGCGGCATTGGGGTCTCCAATCCGGGTCCCCGGAGGATCTAAAGGACACTCTTGGCCATGAGGTGTGTCGATGTAACAAGGCCCCGCAAGATTCGACCTCTCGCAACCATTATATTGTGTGTAGTCTTCGAAACCCCACCTTACAAATACATAGGGTGTGATGCCGGCAAGCCCATGGGCCACATACCCGAATGTAGACTTGGGCGAGGACACAAGGTCGTCCATGAAGCTCAGAAGCCACATGTCTGCCAACGCCTTTTTGTCATGCTCCACATCCCCCGTCTGCTGAACCCCTTCGCTGCTGGGGCTCAACACTGATATACTATCACCTCGTACATTTGCGTTTCGCAAATACTTCTCCCTCACGTCGTGATGGTATTGAGCTACCAGGCCTGTCATCAGAACTGTGACCCTCTCTGGTGGCGTCTTCGTCGGTGGTGCTGTGTCTTCCTGAGTGACGTTGGGGAGAATGTTGTTCAAAGTGGCGCACCGGAGGATGTGCTCGCTGAGAATGGGGTTGTACTCAGGTTTCCATGAGCGCACCTGTATGCCGATCTTCTTGTCTGCATTCAAAAGGTACCCGTCGTAGAACCTCGTTATACGGCCCCATATGTCATTGCGTGGGTTGAGTAGATACCTCCCAGCGTGCAGAAACATTGCCCTATCAGGAAAGAGCTGGTTCAGAGCTTGCCGGTATTCGGGTAAAAAGTAAAAACCGGCTGCAATGTAGTTGTTGCTTTTTAACACCAACCAGGGTATGCGACTAAGAAGTGTTTGCTCTGCAGGGCAGAAGAATCGTCTGTCTTCATGATCGGGCACGTTGTAATTTGAGAGGGTAATGTACAAGCGACTTGGCGAAATGGTTGATGATGCATCCAAATAGGACTCAGATCCATTCTTTGTTAGGTTGTCTACTTTGTGAAAATAGTCCCATTGCACATCTGTCTGTTGAAGCATGGCATCCAGCGGAAAGTCAGGAGGTAATTTCCATGAGGATCCGGGGAACGGCTCACACAGAAGATGGTGGAGTGATCCGTCGACATGACCGAGAGACGGCATGGTCAACAATGTGCGTTTAGTGAGGAGAGAATATATGAAGGCCGACACTAGACTCATGATCTGGTTCCCTTTTCCGTCCTGCTCTTTCCAGACAAGATACTTACATCCCTCCGGCACTTTTCCTGCCACGAAGAGCTCGGTGAGGTTGTGGTTTCCCACGCATCGCTGGTGAAGGGCCTCATACTCTCGTAGTGCTTGAAGAAACTGAGGAGGCGGGGGTTTCCGTGTGGCATTCCAATAGCAGTGCTGCATGTACTTGCTGGTACACACTTCGGCATCTAACGTGTTCTTGGGATGATACTGCTCATCACTCGGTATAGATTTGAGTGGAGATCCCAACGATGCACAATCTGCAACAACTCAATGACAAAGATGTTACATGCAGATGAGCTTAAACCTCGGAGCTTGGAGTATATTGACACCAGTGTAGCAGTTGGAAGATACGGAATGTCGGACAGATTGTCAAGATTAAACAAGTATGACTAGCATTACACACAAAGATTAATTGTGATGGTTTGAAGCGTTACCAATGTCAGCAGACGACAGCAAGACGTCTTCCGCAAGATTTTTCTTGAGTGGAAGTTGAAAGTCCATGAACCTTTCCATGAGTGAACTCTGATTCCGAGGAGTTCTGATGGAGCAGAGTGTCACAGCCACCACCAACATCAGCAGAACACCTAAAACATAGCACAAGCTCCCCATCGGCGTCCATTCACCACGAACCACCTTCTTGGCATTTGTTCCCTTCATACTCACCAACTTGCAAGCGTCGCAGTCTTCAGGTCACAAAATATTGCAAAACTGAGACCGTTTCCAGTCTTTTTGCAGTAACTTTGTTGCCGTTCGAAGTAGACTAAACTCGGCGGGACTTCATGCAGCTCCTGGAAAGGCTTGTCGAACTCATCGGTAACGATGGGAAGTCGATTGGACAATCATGTCTTCACTGGCTGGCAGAATTAATCGTTGCTTTCGTCATTCAGAAACTTACATCCAAAAAAACCGTGTAGCCTCGTGGCAGTGATGTCAAGCATGCAAACACGCAGTTGATTATTCATGCAGTCGCGATAACCAACAGAACCAGCAGCAAGTCGACACAGGAAAAGATGTTGTGCGCAGTCGTAACAAGCGTATGCGGAGCTCAACTTGGAGGTATGCGCACAAGGGTCCTCTGGGCTGAGAGTCCAAGCAAATCTGAGTGGTTTCTTTCAAGGGCAGTACTTCTAAATAAGCTTTCGCCTCACCATTTCTTTTTAGGGTTATCGACCAAAACAACGTAAACCTTCTCATTAACTGTGCCACTTTAGAAGGTACAAGAAAACTCACCCACTTCGTACATTTCGGGGACGACCAAATATACGAGTGTTTCCAATTTTAGCCACACATTGATGCGGGTATCTGATCTCGAGGTGGCTACATAATCGGTAGACAGCATAGCATGTACACGATTCTGTGATGCAAAATTATGAACTCGTCATTTTCATGCACTATTTCAGAAAAGAAATAAAACAAAAGTAAAAGTCAACTTCAAGGTTCAAAAAGGCAAAAATACAAAAAGACGTCAGTTTGTCATTTAAGGAGCTAGATACTTCAAAAAATGATTAGATAATCGTCAACAAATTAAGCTTTTCTGAGGCCTGTCCACACTTCAGTGGCACCTGACCCCTCGCTCATAACCCTGCCAACCCCCTCAGGAAACAGGCATTGTATGTACGTTTTTTTTCTTATTAATATACACCACCGTTACTTCAAAAAAATAAAAATAAAGCTTTTCTTGAATAAATTAATTTGTATTAGTACATGTTTAAAAAGCGCTAGGAACATTTTACATTCCTCCCTGGGTGACATCCACGACTTGACAAACTATCAAAAACCACATACTCAGTTTTAAAGCAGACTTTCTGCTAACGAATGCATCATAAACCTTGTAAATTGAACCAGCTAGTATCGAATTAAATGCTACGTAGATTATGTGAGATTTTGGTCATTTACATGTCAAACACAGTAACTTTCATGAAACTCAATTTCCCCAAAACCAAAAATGCTTCACTCAGTTTTTAATTCGTGGTTCAGAAATCTGCATATGGAATCAACATTTATCAAGGTCACAATAACGCAATATCACAATATCAATGTCAGGAGTAAATGAACAACAACAAAACGCAGGAATAGACAAAACACGTATTGTTGGTTGATACGGAGCCCCACGCAGAGCTCATAGGTTGTAGCTTTAAACTTTTACTTTTCCGAAATATGACGTCAATGTTCAACCTCTAAATATGTCCGCAGCTCTTACCGATCAATAGGTTTCGAGAATCTACGGAGTCTAAATTACCGACTAGCACCCGGATTTTAGGCGTCAAACTCGCACAAGGAACCAGATCTCAAGCTTGAAAAATTGAAACTACCCCGTAAAATTTGTTACTTGCTTTGTTGCACTACCTAAAAAGCACTAAATGTGAATTCCTTATTCTTTTATAAGACAAGCGCGGCAATCTAAATGCAGCTGAACAGAATAGATCCGAACTGCCCTCGTGAAGCGGTAACCACACGTAAGTACTGAGTGTACAGTAACACAACAAAATATAAATTAAGTAAAAAGAAAACTACAACGTGCAGCAAGGGAGTGATGAATTTAGCCGTTCGTAAGTTTGCTAGTCTCACGTTGAATGCAAATAATTTAAAGAATGCCAGTCTGAATGTGAGAAAGCAGTGAAAAGGAACTACCTTTGACGCTTCACCCTTGAAAAGGAACCTGGATGCGATGGCGAAGGAATTCAGTTCCGAAGTTCAGGATAACCATGAGCTGTGGTCACGTCTTTTGCCGTAACGCTCTTATAAATTACAGTAACAATGTGCAGGTTTGTTACAAGGTCCCTTCGGCGGCTACCTGAATCCTCGACTCATGATCGATCAGACTTTATCTTTCGATCTCACCCCTTAGACATTGCTGGTACGGATACATGACGCTTGGAAAATCATGTGAAACCTTACCTGTCTTAATACTCTCAATTTATGACGAAACTACATATAATTATATAATCTTAGTGTACTTCTAACTATATTCAATGCAGTTTGAAATTATGAGCAATAAAGATGTTCAAATATAAAATTTGATGTAGATAATTTAATATTATATTTAATCGATGATAATAAATATATAGAAAAATTAAAAAAAAAAAAAACTTTGATACCACAATATTATATAAGATCTTTGGGCAATGCTTTGAAATTGCTGCAAGATGATGCAATGTGGTATAAATATTTGCATATAGCATGTGTTGTATAACACCCTTTCAACTTGCATATTCTTTTTGTGATTTTTATTTTATTTTTTATTACACTCTTTGTACCTTGAAATATTAAAAGAACATTTCAAGGTACAAAGTTGCATGATATATAATGCCATAGACTTGCAAAAGGTTGCACGGTTGAAGTTGCAATTAATGATGTATTTCTTTTGGTTGAATAAAAGCCTACTATTGCTAGATTGTATTTTTTCAAACTTAATTGGATATTTTCAAATAGCTGACTATATTAAGAATAAAAATATTTTGACAACTACAAATGTTGATGTTAATTATATTAATACAATTATTAGTAATAACATCCTTTTGTATCAAAATATATTTTTTTTTAGAGATATTATTGTATTTGAAGATGATAAATCAAGTTTTGGAATAGTATTTCAAGTGTACCATCAATTATCATTGAAATAGAATCAAATTATCTCAAAAATCTAAGATTCTTCTACTCCATAGTGACATAAAATTCTATCATAAAATAGGAAAAAATAAACTAAGACAAAACTGAACAGAACTAAATAAAATAAGACATGAGAGACAAACTAATCAAATAAAAATAAAACAAAATAGAACTGAATAAAATGATGCAAAACCAAACTTTACCAAGAGAAAGGGTTTGAAGCCATACTTGACCAAATGCCCCAAAAGGCTCTAGCTAATCCTATTTATACCTTGTCCTACCACCACGGACTTTTTAGAATGTTCTTAGATAGTAGGTCCTATCTAGATAATCGTCTTAAGCTCCTTTTTGAAAGATTCTATAATGGATGCTACTTAAATAATTGCCTTGAACTCTTTTTAGAATATTCTATGATGGATCCTATATGGTTTATTAACCTAACTCCAATTCTAGAAACTTCCATGGTTTTATCTAACTATATAATTATCTTATCTATATCCTGTTATAATCATCAAGATGATTGGATAATTCTTTTGTTGTTGGTAGAATTTGCATATAATAATTTGATGCATTCTTCTACTCAACAAATACCTTTCTTTATCAATTATAGTTATCATCCACGACTTAATACTTTTGACTTTTTAAAAGTTGATAAACTTGTAGCATAAGATTTAGCAAGTCGTTTGTCAAAGCTACATGCAACAATGAAGACACAATTAAAAGAAGCTCAAGAATGACAAAAGACCAATGCGGATGCGTATTGTAAGAAGCGACCATAATTCAATGTGAATGGCAAGATATTGTTACTTTGTCACAATATCAAGACTACTTGTGCTTGTGACAAGTTGGACTATTGTAGGCTTAGACTTTTTCCTATTAGTGAACAAGTCAATCATATTGCTTATCAATCAAATTTACCAAAGGCTATGAAGATCCACCTTGTATTTTATGTCTTTTTTTGAGTCATATAAGACAATGAATATCTTAGGAAGAGAACAAATGCCACATCCTTTTATAGAAATTGATAACAATTAAGAATTTGTAGTAAAAGAAGTCTTAGATTGAAAGAAGTATCAAAATAGATTGGAATATATTATTCATTGGCGTGGATGTGATATTAGTGAATGCACATGGGAACCAACAAAGAATCTTGCAAATGCAGCAACGAGACTTGAAGTTTTTCATCAATGACATCCATCAAAATCAAGATTAAAAATAGAAAATCTTTGCTATAAAAGAAATAAGATCAAAGGAAGATAACACTCTACCTTCTATCGTCCTTTGTAACTTTTGTGTAGTTAAGGAGATAAGAACCAACAATTAGTAGATTCAACTCAAGAGCTTTCATTTGCGGACTTACTAGATGAGACTTTATAATTATCACAACTTTCAAGACAATAAAATCAAAATGAAGATCCTCAAGAACAACATGTCTTTCCTCAAATAGATGGCAAGATACAACGTATTTAATATCACGACCTTGGAAGAGACTCCCAATGTTTGGTGATTTTATTAGAGGTAGGAAGAATTCTTGACGATGCTCCAAATGTTTTGTTTGAAGGAAGTTATGAAGGCTTCAACAACCACCAAATAAAAAAGATGTCTTCTTGCCCTAATATGGAATACTATCAATGGCTCAAAGGACTTATCAACCATCTTCAAAGAGAATAAAGATCGGAGTATGTCGCAAATACAATTTGTTGTATCTCGTATTTCTTCAATATATGAAGATAGCTTCTCATGGAACTCATTCCTAGAAGGGGAGGGAGGAATAATGTCACGGACATACATAGATATCCTAATAAATACCTATATAATTAGGTAGAAATAGATAAAAGTAGATAAAAGTAGATTTATTTCATAAGACCTTTTAAAAAAGCTTCCTTGAAGCTTTATAGATGCTGCTTTACTTTACATGTGTTTGTACTTGATTGGTAGGTTAGAAACTTGGTCAACAAGTTAACCACGTTTTGATAGCTTGCGGAACAAGTTAATTATGTGGCGCACATATAAAAAAATTTCCTTGTAAGTTAAGATGTGTTTCTTGCAAAGTCAACACATTTTTGGAGGTCCTTTAGGATATTTCTATGTAGCATCTAATTAAGAGTATATATGGAGGCAAGAGTGAAACCTTCTTCACTCTTATCAATGTCTTTCTAGTCTAGTTTGATACAAGAGTGTATTGAAGATTTTCTTTCTTTGAGATTTATGTCCTTGATACTTATAAATCAATGTTAAAAGTGGATGTTATAATAATATTATTGCCTAATCTCAATATGTCAGCAAGCCTTTGCAATGGCACACCTATGATGATTGTCTATTCCAAATGCATACTAATTATTGCTTAGATCGTTGGAAGGGCTTACATAGGTGAGAATAAAATTCTACAAATTACAACTATGTTGTATAGGAATAGATATCCTTTCACACTTATGCAACATCAATTCCCAATTCAATTAGCCTTTGCAATAACAATCAATAAAGCACAAGGGCAAACTTTGGGTACAACTAGCTCATGCGTTCATCCATGATTAAATTTATGTCACTCTTTCTCAAGCCACATGCATTGCAAATATCTTTGTTTGCTACACAAATGAAAAATTCACAACCACAACCAATGTTATGTATCATGAAATGCTTCAATAACAAATGATGCAATAGCTAAATGACTCTCACAATCATTAAGGTTTCTAAATGGGTGATATAAATATATATATATATATATATATGAGGAAATTTTTATTGCATACAACTCGAAAGGTGAAGACATGGCACTTCTTGTTGCATCGAGCATTCCGTAACCTGTACTGGTCGTGAATCACGTCCTACCAACACAGACGATCTGCCTTAAGCAACGATAAAGCGCGGATTGATGACAGCGAGGGAGCTGCAGAACGGGAGTCCTCACGACCCTCCCAACAATGTTGCACACTGTCCTGCACGGCACGTATCCATGACGACTAAGGTGGGTATTCGTGTACGGAGCCAACTGAACTGTGCATAGTGAGCGCAGAAACAGAATACAGAAGAAGCGCGAACTCAACTTCGTGGTAAACAGTTTGTGTCTCGGAATCGAGGGCGATGCCGGGATCATGCCTTGAGATTATGCAACTGTTGTGAAAGCAACTACTGAGTTGATATTTTTAATAGCCTTTTGAGCCATCAGCATCATCAATCGTGTTGACGTGCCTTTAAAATAAGCCCCCGTTTTATGTTTCATTTTAAATTTTTAGTATTTTTTGGTTTTTTGGTTTTTTGGTTTTTTTTTTTCCTGGATGTGTAGAACACGAATTGGTTGCAAGAGAAGCATGTGAGAGAGTGTAGTTTTGGTATTTTTAGTAATTACGTTTGTTTCAAAATCAAGATTCTGACATCATTCTGAGTTAATAAACTTGAAAGAAGGCTCCAAGCTAGTCACTCACAGTTATAATTAGTTACGTATTATTAATGGTAATCTGGTAGATTTACTTCATGATATCTTGTGGAGGATAAAGAAATAAGGCACAGTGGTGACGCGACATTTATGCTTGCGTGGCTTGCTGACGTGGTACAGATGACGTCACAGTACGGATGGCATGATAGACCCTGACATGGCTTGCTGATGTACTGAATGGTGACGTGAAACGTGGACAGACGTGGCAATGCTTACGTGGAAGTTGGATGGATGAAAGCTGCACGACAGAGTTGATTTTCGCCCAAGTCTT